AGGGGGAAAATTTAAAAATTTTTTTTAAATTGAAACCCTTTAAAAAGAAGGGAAAAAAAGGGAAAAGAAAAGGCCCCACAAACAAGGGGAATTGGGGAAAGGAGAAGGTTTTGGGAAATTCCCCTTTGAAGGGACCCTTTTTTTTCCCCCCAGGTGGGAAAAAGGGAAGGGGGTTAGCGTAAAAAAGGTTTTTTTTTTTCCCCCGTTTTTTTTTTAAAACCGTTTAAAGGAGGAGGGGCCTTTAAAATCTAAATTTTAACCCAGTTCGGGTTGGGTTTCCCTTTTAAAAGGGGGGAACCATTTTAAAAATTAAAAATTAAAAATTTTCCTTTTTAACATTTTCCCCTTTAAAGAAAAATTTTTAGGGGCCTCATTTAAAAAAACCCGGCCAAATTTATCCCCCTAAAAAAGGAAAAGGGAAAAAAGTTGGTTATGGTCCTTCCCCTTTGAAAGCACCTAAACTCAATTTCTTTGGGTGGGAAAGGTTCCATCGGAAAACTGGTCAAAAATGTTTTTTTGTAAAACCCCCCTTCAAATTATTTTGGGGAAACCTGGGAAAGGAAAAAAAAGACAAAAAAAAATCTGGGGCCCGGCTTTGTCCAAATTTTTCCCTTTTTAAAATTTCAACCGTTTGGATTCCTTTTCGAAACCCCCCTTTTAAAAACAAACCAAATTTTGGGAGAATTCCAGGGGGAATAAACCCCAAAATTTTTCAGTTTTAACCCCAAACACTAAATTTAAGGGGAAAATTTTTTCAGTTTTTGGGCCCAAAAGGGAAAAAAAGGGGGGTTTAACAAAAAAGGAAAAATTGTACTTGAATTCAAAAACCCTAACTGGCCCCTAAAAACCCACATTTGGCTTTTATTAAATGTAGGGAAAAAAATTTTTCCCCGCTGTTTGACTTTTCCCCCTGCCGCTTAAAATTTTTTGGAGGAATTTTAACCCTGGAAAGCAAAAACAACAAAAAAAACCGGGAAAACTGTCCAAAAAAAATTTTTATTAAAAATTTTTTCCCCTTTATTTGGGGTGTATTTGGGCCCCCTTCTTAGAACGGGGAGGGAAAATAACAGTTTGGGGTTTGGAACAACCCCAAACCCCCAAAAGGGCCAATTTAGTTTTTTCGGATGGGAAAGCCCAGAAGGGGGAATCAATTTTTTGAATTTTCCCCAATTAAATTTCCAAAACCAAAACCCCGGGGGAGGGAAAAAATGACACAAGGCGGGAATCTAAAGAATAAAAGGTTTGGTTAGCAATTTACAAAAATTTTTGGACCCCAAAAAAAAAGAAAAAAAACCAAAAATAATTCCCGGTGGGGAAAAAAAGGGTCCCCTCGTTTTTAGTTTTTCCCCCTACCAAAAAAAGCCCCAAATTTTAAGGGAGGTTTTCTTTAACAGGTGGGACCAAAAAACAAAAACCCAAAAAAACCAAGGAAAAACGCCGTAAAAAATAAATTGATTTTCAATTTTATTAAGGGGAAAAATTTTTTACCCCCTCTAATAGAAAGAATTTTGGTCCCCCGGGAAAAGGGGGGAAAGGTTGGGGAAATTGGGGACCAAAAGGGGTGCTCAAATCCCCGGTTTTTTTAGGAAAAAGCCCTTCCCCCAAAAAACAACCCAAAACCCCCCCCTTCCAAAAATGGGAAGGGGAAAAAAGCTTTGGGGGTGTCCCGGGGGGTTGGGGGGAAAAGGGGGGGGAATGGGTCAAAACCACCGGGAAGGGGGTTGGTGAGGAAGGGGCAAAAGGGGTTGGGTGGGGGTTTTGGGCTTGGGAAAAAAAAACGGGGGGTTTTTGGTGGGGGGGGTGCAAAACTTCGGGGGGTTAATTGGGGGTTAAAGGTGGGTTGGCCCCCCTTTAAGGGGGGGTCTTGTTGGGTTGGGTGGGAATGGGGGGTTAAAAAAAACGTTTGGGGGGGGAAAGGGGGGGGGGGTGGAACCTGAGGGGGGGTTTTGGTCCCCCCCCTCGGGGGGTTTTAAAGGGGTTGGTATGGGGGGGGGCATTGAGATTAGAAAGGGGGAATTGGGGGGGGAAAGTTTTTTGGTCAAAATGAGAAAAAGGAGGCTTTTTTGGGTAAACCAACTTTCCCCCTGTTTGGGGGGGAGGAGGGGGAAAGTCCTAAACCCCAAAAACCCTCCCCCCTCAAACCGGGGTGGGAAAATTTGGGGGGGTGGGTTTTCCTAAGGGGCAAAGACCAAAAAACCCCGGCCAAGGAAAAGGGGGTGGGTTGAAGGGGCCATTTCAAATCTTTGGGTGGGCCTCCAATTCCCCCAGAATTTTTTTTGAAAATGGGGGTGGAGGGGTAAATTCCGATTTCCAAATACCCAAAAAACCGGGAAAAAAGGGAAAAGGAGGGGGCCCAAAAAACCTTAAAAGTGTCCTGGGTTTGGCCCTACAAGCTCTGGACCCCTTTAATTCCAAAAATTAATTTTAAAGCTAAGGTTTTGAGGGGCCAAAAATTACCCCCCAAAACCAAATTAATTAAAAATTTTTCCTGCGGGAGTTTTTGGGACTTTTTTCTAATGTTCAAAAACCGTCCAATTTAAAAAAAGCTGGTTTTTTTGGCCCCGGGGGGCAAAGACAAAAAAAGGGAGGGGTCAAATTTCCCTTTTTTCCCCCACTTATTAAAATTGCCAAAATAATTTAAAAACAAATTTTTCCCCAATCGTTTTTCTTTAAAAAAAATTTTAAAAAAAAGGTTTTTTTTTTGGATTTTGTCCCTTTCCTGTCCAAAAACCAACCCAAAAAATTTTAAAATGATTTTTTCTTTGGGATTGGGCCCAAAAAAACAAAAAAAAAAAGGGGGATTTTAATACCCTTTTTCCCCTATTGGTTAATTAATATTGCCTACCCAATTTGGGTTTCAAAAACACTTTTTAAAAAATAATTTTAGGATCACTTCAACACACTGAAAAATTTAAAAAATTTTAAAAACCCTTTTGATTTTTAAATTTTCCCCTTTCGTTAAACCAAAAAGCAGCAGAGGGTCTCCCCAGTCCCTGTTTTTTTTTTTACTGACCAAAAAGGGGAAAGGCCCCCAATTGGGGAACTAACCTAATTTTAAAAAAATTTTGAAAAGGGGGTTTTTGGCCCGGAAAAGGCCAAAAAAATTTATAAAAAAGGCAAGATCTTTCTAATAAAAATTTTCCCTTTTCAACCCTTTATATTTTAAAACTCGGGGGTTTGAACAAAATAGAAATTGGAGAACTTTTGAAAAAACATTTGAAGGGGAAAAAAATTAAAAAAAATTTAAAAAAAAAATTTATCTTTGGGATTTCTTTTGGCTGAAAAAAATTTTGAAAAATTATGGCATTCAAAAAGGGGGGGGCGGGGAAAAAAGGGGCCCTTTTTCCCTTCTTTCCCCCCCTGGGTTTAACGACCAGAGGGGGGTGGGCAAGTTTTCCCCTTAAGGCAAATAATTGTTTAAAATAAATTGCCTCCCGGGGGCCCCTTCTGACCAATGCCCAGGAAAGGCCCAAAAAATAATTTAAAAAAAAAGGCAAGGACCTTTTCTTTTAAAAATTTTTGCAGGGCCCTTTCGATACATTTGCTACGCTTTAAAATTTGCAAAACTGAGGGGCTTTGAAAAATGGGGAGAAGAAAAAGCGGGGTTGAAAAAAAACAAGTGTTTACTCTTAAAAACGAAAATTTTAACTCACCCCCCTCCAAAGTGATTCCTTTCAGCCCTTTTCATTGGTTTTTAAAAAAATTTTTAGGGGAAATTCCTAAAGGGTGCAAATTTGGGGGGGTCTTAAACGTGCCAATTATTTACATCCAAAAGGCCAGCGGGGTAGGGCCGCACTTATTTTTTCCTCGGGGGGATTTTTTGGAGAGGGTTTTTTCCCCCTTAAAACCTGTTTCAAAAGGGCAATTTCCCTTCCCCCGGCGGAGGGTTTTTAATGATACCGGCCCAAACAAAAACCCCTTAAAAACCCCAAAACAATTTGGGGTCAAGTTATATTTTTCCTACAGAAATGTTTGGGACCGAACCGAAAAACCTTCCCGGGTCGAGGTTTGGGAGCTTCCTTTAAAATTTAATTTAAAAGGAAAAAAGGCCCCCGGGGAAATAGGGAGAAGCAATTTCAGGGGTTGGGTCCATGGTTGGGGGCAGAACAAATTCCCCTAAAAAATGGTTAAGAAGGAAAATGGGAAGGCGGGAAAACCTAAGGAATTTTGGTTAGCAATTTTTCCATGCGGTTCCAAAAGGTTTTTTAAAAAGGAAACCAAAACCAAAACTTTAAGGGAAAAATCATTTTTTTAAAACTCCCAAAATTTTTTTAAAATTTTATACAATTAACGAAAAGGACGTGTTTTTATTTAATTCCATTTCCTCAAAAAAATTTTTACCCCCCGGGTATTTATTTTAAAGGGTTTTGGCCAATTTTCCCCCCCTGTATTTTGAACGGGCCCTGTTTTTTCCCCCAAAAAAGGGGACTAAAGAAAAGAAAATAATTTCTGAGTGGAAAAAAAATCATGAAAAAATCCAAAATTCCCCCAAAAAAAAAACCAATTTGGGTTTTGGATAAAATGTTCCAAAGGACCGAAAGGTTGATTGGGTTTGGGGAAATTTAACAAAAGTTCCTTTTTAAAAAGAAGCCCAAATTTAAAAATTTAATTTTTTTTTTTTTTTTTTTTTTTTTTTTTTTTTTTTTTTTTTTTTTTTTTTGATATGGACCTATCAGACATGTATGCAAGACCAGAGACCGCAAAGCGATGATCCTGGATCTTGAGAGATACTTAACAAGAGAAGCTTACCTTAATTTCAAACTCAAAGTGCTCATCTTTCCCTTGCCCTCGGAGAACGTAGCGAGGAATGCTAATTTTAACAGGGTCCTTTAGGCAGTCAGAGTTGTTCCCAAGAGGGACAGAGACAAATCGCTGCTGGGAAAAACATGGGTGGAAAGAAAGGAAAATGGGAGAGAGCGAGAGAAACATGGACAGGAAGGTGTAGTCTTATTTATATGACAACAGTGAACAGGTACGAAACAGAACAGCTAGATACAACCAGGCAACACAAACAAAGGCTTATACAGAACACAATCTTTATTTTTTGTTAAAACAATTAACCATATTTTATTAACATTATTGCAGTGATCATAGTCACAAGTCATATTGTACGTCAGACATTCTTCATATTACGCTTCACACATATTCCTCAAAAGCATATTGCACATTACAATTCGCCATATGATGAATATGCGTAAACGGATTGAACAAACATATTGAAGAAAACAATTTCACCAGCCATAAGTGATTGATGTGAGCATTCATGTAAGAACAGAGGGAGAGCTAAGCTGACTACATGAAAAGGACACCATATTACCTGTAGTGGGAAAGAAAATCTATGAAATATCCAATTAACTACACCAATACAAAACAATTAGGTTTGTGAGTAAAATTGTTCTTAAAGTGACAATGAAGGATTGACTATGATTTGATTAAGGTGTACCACCACAGTGGCAGTATGTTAAGAAGAGAAGCATTAAAATATACTATAAAATACTTTAAAATCAATAGCAGCCATTGGAGTTAGACCTTTAACATTTTGTATTTGATCTGTATTCATAATATGGAAATGTATTTTCTTATAACACAATGTTCATGAGGATCCTTTAGATAAGTTTCAATAAAATTTTACATTGACATTGTGGACATACACTAACAATTACAAAAGGCATGGTTCCCATGTTACAAGAATAATGGTTTTTTTGGATATGATTTTCAACTAATCAAACAAATAATTTAAACAGTCTTAAATACACATCGGAAGTGGTAGGACGGTGCCGTCATGCTCAAACAAAATAAGATTTACAAGTGAAATCTTCACTATAATGTTGCTAAACTCTTGTAGTATGCAAACCCTAACGTTATCAGTCTAGCTAGCTGATTATTATACTCAGAACTGCAGTTGGCTGACAATACTGAATGTAGCTGGCTAGCCAACTCACCATGGCTTTCTTGCTCAAGTGCAATGCTGACAGAAAACAAGACGAGTTCAGCAGGACGGCACAGTCTTTACGCTTCAGGGCCTGCAGTGGCAGTTAAGCTCCTTTCCTTTTATTACCTATTAGCATTACATCCTTTTATGACCTGGAAGCACATCCTTAAATCAGGTTGACAGATGATTGATTAGGATTGCTGCATCCGAGGTAGAGCTGAAAGTTAATTTCCAGGAATCAGCTGGGGGCCTGCAATCAGAAGGTAGAGGGACAATGGCTAAGCCTTTCCTGGTCTTTCTTTTGGTCTCAATCTGCCCTTTGTGAGTCATGGAGAATAAGATGTCAAGCACCATACATCTGTCGCTGTGTCTCACAAGCACACATCGGATGTCTGAGCGTCTGCGCAGCTCTACTCCCTGAAACTGGGGTTGGATGGGAACCAGAGTTGAGCCTCGAGGTACCGGGTGGAACACGGCATCCTCTTGCACCAGGCCTATGTGGTTGTCGGTGAGAAAGAACTGGCAAAGGACAACTTGGCGCGAGGTGGAATAGTTTTCCACCTTGATGGAAGTGTAGAGAAGAAGGTGTATGTTAGCCAAGGAGGGCCTGTTAGGTCCTTCCATGTTGCCGTGCAGGATGTAGAGCAGGTCAGCCATGACCCTCTTAAAGCGCGAGGTGACACAGAGGCCACTATCCAGCAGGAGGTCTGGAACGTGGGACCTCCAGTCCAGAGAGAGGCGCAAGAGGTCTCCACGAAGCAAGGGGTAGGCTCCTGGGCCTTCCTGAACCTCTGACGGGGCCAGGATCTTCAGCAGAGTACAGCATAGCTCCTGGGTAAGCGCTTTGCTGTGGGTGAAGATGACCAAGATGGTGTCTTCAGTGGAACCCAGGAGTCGTACATGCTGCCCAGCAAAGCTCACTTGGATCTCCTTGATGTGCAAGAGACTGAAGTGGTGAAAAACTGCCAAAGGCTGGTTGTTACCCAAACCAGTACCAGCGGAGACTGCATAGATGTCGGTTTCAGATAACAGTAAGCAACTTGGTTGTGGTGTAGGCTGTTTGCAATTGGCAATGCTTAGCCAGTAGATACCCAAAAGGTGGTGGGAAGAGGCAGCGATCTTAGGCGTCACACAGTACAAACGATGCATCATCTTCTGAAGAGGAAGAGACTGTAATTCCGAAAGGCATTTGGGAAACTCCACGAGCGTCTGACAATAAACTACAGGCTTCCCATCTTTGTATGTAGTCACAGAGCCTTTAGGCCATAATGAAATGTCCGGAGTTGCAGACACATTACCTTTCTCAGGAACATTTAAAAGGCAATTGCCTGTCAAATTGGCAAAATGAACTTTATTCTGCCTTGAGTCGGGTTTCATTGAAGGTTCAAGCTGCTTTTTCTGAACAAGTGGAAGATCTTTTGTTACTATGGTCATGTACTGAGAGAATGTACTATTCAATGCTGAAGTTTCTCCTGCTCGAACCTGCCGAATTATATCACGTGTACTCTGCAGATATCGTCCAGCGTCGTTGTAAACTCCAGACAGCTTGCCTGCCAAGTATCCAAGGACGTAACTCTGTTTGGCTCCCAGTTCGTTGGTTAGTAGATCCGGTTCTGAAGTTACCAGATTACTCTGCACCTGCCCGTTTACAGACTCTTTAGGGATCTTGTTGAGACCAAAGTAGCCCTTGATGGTGATTTGTCTCTTTGAGCTTAGTCCCAGTATGGGGACTTCAGAATTTATCACGGTTGCAGTGTCGTTACTTGTCTTGCTTGTGTTCTGAACTTGGTCTTTGGTTCCTTCCACAGAGTCAAACTGTGAGAGAGTGTGCAACAGTGGGTTCTCTGTTCTGGTTTCTCTGGACTGAGAATATGATAGACTTTTGGTCTTGTCATCAACAATGTAGCAACTCAAATTGGTTTCTTCCTCATCTGGCCTACAATGGCTGTTATTTCCATCTTCACTGGCTATGGTGTTTGTAGACCTAAATCTCCAGTCCTTGGTTTTAAATTCACAGCCATTGTTCTCGCTCTCAGCTTGGTCAACCTTCCCCTTCACTCCCACCTGCCACCATTTAGCTTTTTCACCCTCTTTATAAGGCATTCTGTCCTTTTCTGCCAAGACTTTGGTTTCCCTTTCTGGGTTGCCGATTTGATCTAACTCAGAGTGGTCTTTGACGCTGCCTTCTTCTGAACTTGTTGTATGCCCTTCCAGGTGAGTGCTTGTCTCAAGTCCTGGGACGTACAGGAAGCTACGCCACAGCAAGGGCATGGAGTCTTTCTGTGTGGACAAGGGGGGATTCCATGACTATAACTTCAAACCAGAGATCAAAGCTCTGAATTATAGTCTTTCAAGTATTCATTCTCACCCCAGTAAATTAAGGTCTTCCTCCACCAAGTGTAAAAATCCAGTTGTGATTGAAATAAAATCCAGATGAGCAAGATTACAATTGAAAAGGGAATTAAAGAGATTGATGCTTGTTATGGAGCATGAATACAAAAGTACACACCCCAGGCTTCCATGCAACCTTGACCTTCCCTTTTTGCTTACAAAACCAGATATCAACCCTGTTTGGCTGGACATTTCCCCTTATCCTGTTCTACACTTAGGTTGGCCTACTCTGTCAGTGACTGGTTTCCTTTAGCCAATTCAGTATTTTATTCAATTTCCTGCTTCTTTGTGATTGTGTGGATTTTTCTAGTCAATATCCCCATAAACAGCTATATTCTTAAGTTTTTGCCATTTCTTTATAAAGACCTCAAATGTTCTTGGTTTAGGAATCTTCTATGTTCATCAGATACAAATTTGAGATTCCTGTAAAATAGGATGTTCCCTAAAGCACCTTTTACAAACGGCATGCCTCTTTTCATAGTTGGTGTGGTGGTTAGTGAAGATTCAGCATGATTGCCACTCAAGTTAAATTAATGTTTAAAAATGTCTGGTTAGTTTCTTCATCTCCAACCAAAAAATTGAAAACTCAACTCTTACCTCATATTTCAATTTCCTAGAGTTGACACGGTTTTGCAGCTTGTCATCATCCTGTAATGAATAAGAACACACTTCTAAGCAATGACAAACAATTCCTAAAAGATACAATGTAATGTCAAATTCATCTCAAACTAAAATTACATATGCTGTGACAAATGGACAACTTTGCCATCAGGCAAGCAGAGTTCCTCTCATATTGGGGAAAAGAAAAGCAAACCAGGCAAAACATCATCCACATACAAACAAATTAGAGAAGGGTTGGAAAAACACCCCACTTGATTGGTCCATGTAACCTCTATAGAGAATAATCAGAAATGCATGCCGATTATAGTCCATTCTGTATACCCTGTGTCGAGGACCTGTGTTTACCTCATCTGTTAATCTAACAGAGCTAGATTCATTAACTTCTTTGTCCTCCTGTAGGAATGAAGAACTTCATATAATAATTGCTATTTTTCGAAGGCACAATTTCCAAATTGGGGTTCCTTTATTATGCTCCGATTGTATGGGAGGCTACAGTAACTATGTCTTTATGAGTTTGAACATGAGAAATATCAATATCTTAATATTGCATATGCTCTGTACGGAGAATGCAAACAAAGCAATGTGTCACTGATGCTTACCTGCGGAGATTCAGATGAAAGTGCGAGCTCAATGTTTTTGTCACCATTGAGGAGGTTCAGCTTCTGTAACCTTCTCTTAACCTCCTCCTCAATGTATGCATTTATCCTGTCAACGGAAAAGGTCATTTATTAGATACTCAAAATCTACAATGGCCAGATCAACCCTAGGGTCCAAAAATAATGCATCTTTATCATGATCATCTGGTAGTAACTTTGACATCTACATTTCATCATTCTCCACCTACAACAGATTTGCCTGTGCCGTTTCTGGCTATCATTGTGAATATTGCAAAAGGATGACACATACAGTGCCTTCAGAAAGTATTCACACCCATTTACTTTCTCCAAATGTTATTGTGTTACAAAGTGGGATTAAAATGGATTTGTCTTTTTTTTGTCAACGATCTACACAAAATGTCAAAGTGGAAGAGAAATTCTAACAGTTGTAAATAATCATTACAAAAAAAACATCTCTTGATTAGATAAGTATTCAGTCCCCTGAGCCAATAAATGTTAGAATCACAATTACAGCTGTGAGTCTTTTTGGATAAGTCTAAGAGCTTTCCACACCTGGATTGTGCAACATTTGCCCATTATTATTTTCAAAAGTCTTCAAGCGCTGTCAAATTGGTTGTTGATCATTGCTAGACAACCATTTTCAGGTCTTGCCATAGATTTTCAAGCAGATTTAAGTCAAAACTAACTCTGCCACTCAGGAACATTCACTGTCTTCTTGGTAAGCAACTCCAGTGTAGATCTGGCCTTGTGTTTTAGATTATTGTCCTGCTGAAAGGTGAATTCATCTCCCAGTGTTTGGTGGAATGCCGACTGAACCAGGTTTTCCTCTAGGATTTTGCCTGTGCTTAGCTCCATTCCGTTTCTTTTTTATCCTGGAAAAACTCCCCAGTCCTTAACTATTACAAGCACACCCATAACATGATGCAGCCACCACTATGCTTGAAAATATGGAGAGTGATACTCAGTAATGTGTTGTATTGGACTTGCCACAAACATAACACTTTGTATTCTGGACAAAAGGTTAATTGCTTTGCCGCATTCTTTGCAGTATTACTTTACTGCCTGTTTTGGAATATGTTTTTATTCTGTACAGGCTTCCTTCTTTTCACTGTCAATTAGGTTAGTTGTGGAGTAACTACAATGTTGTTAATCCATTCTGTTTTCTCCTATCATAGCCATTAAACTCTGTAACCATTTTAAAGTCACCAATGGCCTCATGGTGAAATCCCTGAGCGGTTTCCTTCCTTTCTGGCAACTGAGTTAGGAAGGACGCCTGTATCTTTGTAGTGACTGGGTGTATTGATACACCATCCAAAGTATAATTCATAACTTCACCATGCTCAAAGGGATATTCAATGTCTGCTTTTCTTTAATGTATTTCTTATCTACCAATAGGTGCCCTTCTTTGCAAGGCATTGGAAAACTTCCCTGGTCTTTGTGGTTGAATCTGTGTTTGAAATTCACTGCTCGACTGAGGGTACCATACAGATAAATGTATGTATGGGTACAGCGATGAGGTAGTCATAAAAAAAAATCCTGTTAATAAATATTATTGCTCACAGAGTGAGTACATGCAACTTATTATGTGACTTGTTAAGCAAATATTTAGTCCTGAACTCATTTAGGCTTGCCATCATTTTGAAAAACATAATTCCATGTGGTATTGTGTGTAGGCCAGTGACACAAAAATCTCAATTTAATCCATTTTAAATTCAGGCTGAAACAACAAAATGTGGAAAAAGTAAAGGGGTGTGAATACTTTCTGAAGGCACTGTACCTGTCATCTGCGATAGGCAGCACTGGGGATAGGCTCTGGATTGGGCTGACAGGGGGTGTGCTGAGGCCGGTCTTTTCATCGCCGCTCCCAGTGTGATTCCTTCCACTTCCCTCAGTCTTACTGATCCTCTGCTTCAGCTTTTGGATTTCCCGCTCCACCCTGAGGATATGGAGAGAAGATGGAGAGTTGTCATGTGTCTATCGACCCAAAGAGTCATGATAAATACACTCATTCCACAAAAACTATGACAATATCATTATAAAAAGGCAGAGTTACTTATTTATCGTGTCCATAATCATATTACCAATTGAGGAACACCCTTTTAGACAGGAGGGATTGACCAATGTGATAATACCATCATCAACGACACTCATTTACCATCTCTCAACATCTATCATCTCTTGAAACTTTAACATCAGCTTATCTACATTTTCCATAATTATGTGGACAGCAATGGGTCTACCACACACCTTCCACTAGAGGACACATGTTTTACTATTCATTGATTCTCACCTCTCATGGTCGAGTTCCCGCGCGGGCCCCAGAATGGAGGCCTTGCGCCTGGATTCCTCACTCTCGGGGTCCAGCGAGACACTGCGCTTCAGCACTGAGTGCCTTCTCTCCAGGCGTGCCACCGCCTGCTCCAGGGCCTCATGCTGCTGCTTCTCCCGCGACTCCAGGATCTCCTTCTCCTTGCGCCGCACTTTCTCCTCCTGGCGTGCCACGTTGGCCGTGAACTCGTATGTCTCCTGCAGCTGCTGAAGCTGCTCGGCGCTGGCACAGTGTGAGGTAAGGCGCTCCTCCTTCTCCTCAAGTTCCTTCTCCACCTGGTACAGGGTGTTGTCTAGTCCCAGGGAGATGTTGGAAATGCTGCCAGCGCCAGAGAAGCATCCGAGTTTCAGCAGCTCCTCCGCCCTCTGCCTTTCCTCGGCCACCGCCGGCAGGAGGCTGTCTGTTAGGCTGGCTAGCCGGCGCTCCTTGAAGAGGAGGCGCTGCTCGGCCTGGTGCATCCGCTGCTCCTCCTGGGAGAGTTCCGAGGCGTCCTGCGCCCCCTTCTCCTGGGTCTCTCGCAGCTGTCGCTGATGCTCCTTGTGGGTGTGAACCAGGAGGGCCAGGGCAGCGCGCTCTGACGCCACCTCCTTCTCCAGGCACTCCTTCTGCTGCCGGAGCCCCTCCTCCAACTGACCCAGCTCCTCCACCTGCGCTGCCTTGAAGTCCGTGTAACGGACCTGGGCGGCGCGCCCGGCCTCCTCGCCCATTCCGTTGCAGTCGGAGCGCCCGCTGGTCTCCTTGGCGCAGAGCAGCGCCTCGCGGATCTCTGCCAGGGCACGGCGCTCCTCGTCCAGGCGCCGGGTGTCCTCGCGGGTCAGCAGGGCGGCCGCCGCCTCGTGACGCTCCCTCAGCTGCTCTTCCAGGCGCCCCACCAGGCCTAGCTGCTCCATCTCGCGCTCCTCCAGCCTCCGCCTCTCCGCCTCCAGCCGTACCCCCTGCTCCACGTGCTCCCGCTTCAGCCGCTCCAGCTCGCGGAAGACCTCCGCCTGCTCGGCACGCTCTGCCGCCTCACTATGGCGGCGCGCCTCCTCGTCCTGTGTCTTCTCATCCTCGCGCTCCTCCTGCTGCTGCTGCTTCTGGCGCCGCTGTAGCTCCGGCTCCTGGGTCTCGCGGTGGCGCTCCTCCTCAAAGCGCTGCTTCTCAGCCAGGAGGTCGCGCAGGCGACTCTCGATGTCCTGGCTGCGGCATCGGAGGGTCTCCTCCTGGTGGCGGATGCGCTGCTGCACCTGCTCCGACTCCTTGCGCTGGGACTCTACTTCCTGTTGCAGGAGCTCCAGCTCCGCCTTCTCGCACTTCTGCCTCTCTTCCATCTCCTTAATCAGCCTCCTGCACCCCAACCAAATACAGACAAATCATGAAACACTATGCAATTCGCCAAAAACATACATAGCAAACAATACATTTTTTGTACAATTGCTTTTAACAATAACAAGAGTCTCCAACACTTTTTTGTTGTTGTTTTATTTTAGTTTTTTATTAAAAATAAATGCACTGTTGGTTAAGGGCTGTAAGTAAGCATTTCACTGTAATGTCTGCACCTGTTGTATTCAGCGCATGTGGCCAATAAAATAAGATTTGATTTGAATAAATCATGTGATGTCAGCATATTTGCTTTTAAAGCACACCGTTCCTACAATGTGGTGCATTACAGGTGACTAGTGAGTAAACATTGTTGGACTTTTTTTATATAGTCAAAATGTGAGCATGTTTGTGTGTGTGTCTCCCCTCGCACCTTTTGTGTTCCAGCTTCTCCAGCTCTTCCCGTTGCTGCCTCTCAAATTCCAACCTAGGCAAGTACACCAATAGCATTTAGCTGGCTTAATAACAATGACAGTGAGACTGGACTCACACACACAGCACATAACAGTATTACTCAACGAGACGGCATGATCACAGAAATGAAGGCTGCAATTGGCACATGGAATGACTGAAGAGCTTCATACAAGGCAATGGATGTCAAAGCTTGATGTCATCATTATGCGCCAAAACAGTGATTGAAGCAAGCGGGGCGATGTTCAAAATCATTATAAAAACAAGACGAGACGATGATGGCTTATGTTCAAACAACGGTGGTGGTGGCTGGACAAAGTGAAAAAGATGTGTCATGTTTCACTAGCATTGTTAAAACAAAGCAGTGAACATTGAACACTGGTTGGGTCTACCTGAGATAGATGGGCCCCTTTTCAGTGAAGAGACTGCCAAGGGAGGGTTCAGAGATACATTAGTTACTGTACTTTTAAAATTAGACTCAATGAAGAGCAATAGTCACACAAATGAGTTAAAACAACACAGCAATAACCGTTACCAACGTTCACTAAATACTGGCTGTGTATTCCTCAGAATATCCATGGTTACTCTAGACCTACTAATATAGTTTTTTGTGTTGTCCATGTATGCATACCTACCTAGTAGGTCGTTCTAGGTTTAAAAAAAATCCAGTTTAGGTCTAAATCGGAGTAAGAGCTATTGCATTACTTGTTGTATTGTACAAAACTGAAATGGAAGACTATGTACTTCCTCCACAAGGGGTGCTGTACAACAACAAAACAAATGCATTCTCTAGCGGTTCTGTACAAGCAGAATTAATCTCTGGCTCAACAGATTTTTGGAGAGTTAGTAATAGAATCAATGAAGGCCATACAGTTTGAGTGATGTGGCATTTGTGACGAGCAGCGTTACCAGCTCACATGATTTCAGCTTGAGTCACAGCAGTTGCAATGTCACAGACCTCCTCCAATCCAAAGTACATTCCCCCCCCCCCCCATTTCCATTTTGAGCTACACCTGTGCCAACTGCCTAGACCATCATAAACTGCCAGTACACTGATGTCTTTGACTGGGCACTGTAACATTGTTATTCAGCAAAGAAAAAAAGTGTTTTTCTTTTTTTTTTACAACCAATCCACTGCTTCAGTCAGTGGTCACGTGAGTGAGCAGTAACGGACCTAAGCGAATGGAGGAAAAGGAGTGCTTCTGAACTGCTGAGAAGGCAGGGGGAACTGCGCAGAGGGAGTTGGGGTGAATCGTTCATGCGCTGGAGCATACATCTGACTAATCCCAAACCAGCCCCTACTGCCTACTCCCCATGCACTTCTGGAGATCTGAGAGGAATAGATTAGTATAAGAAATATGGGAACAGCTTCACCTTGCCCTCTGTTAGACTAGGTGGAGTTTTCGCCATATTGCTTACACCCATCCATTCCTCTCAGATCTCCACAAGTACATAGACAGTAGGGGCTAGGGGCTGATTTGGGATTAGGTGATACATACACCCACATACACTCACCCTGGGTTGTAGAGCATTACTGTGGAGAGGTTCTCACATGATTTGTTGAGATCGGTCATGGACAGACTGAAGGAGGAGAGCAGTCCACTCTGGGAAAAATGACCAACACACAACAAAAGGTCAACATGACCATTGACCTCATGATGACTCATTGGTGAGTCGCCTACATCCTACCAGGCTTACAGTAAACGTGCCCTTCCACTAGATGGTTATGTCAAATCAACGTTTATTGGTCGCGTACACAGATCTGCAGATGTTATCGCAGGTGCAACGAAATGCTTGTCTACATGAGTAATAAGCTATAAGAGTCATGACTTACTTGACTTAAACCCTTAGGGAGCATGTGTCATCCACATATCTAATAATAATAATAATCTAATATCTAATAACTTATGACTGATACCGCAACTAATAAGCTTCTTTAAAACGCCTTTGAGAGACAGAGCCTTTGGTATTACCTTCCTCTTCTCCCTTAGTTTAGCTGCCTCTTTAGGGTGGTTGAAACGGAACATGTTGGTTCTCCCCAGCAGGATGACAGCACCTATCAAACACAATAGAACTAGAAACATTGAATAAGATAATAAGGAATAAAACTACATAGGGAGGGAAATGCACATGGGTGGGTTTTACTACTGCTAAAATGACTACAGATCAGTAAATGTGGGATTGTGCATTCACAGAACAATCATTGCGTTGGCTGGCTAAAAGCGTGCTAACGCTAGTTGGATAGTCCATCTGTAGATGCTCTACGGACTATACACAGACTGTATAAAACATTAGGAAAACCTGTTCTTTCCATGATATATAGACTGACCAGGTGAAAGCTATGATCCCTTATTGATGTCACCTGTTAAATCCACTGCAATCAGTGTAGATGAAGGGTAGGAGACAGGTTATAGAAGGATGTTTAAGCCTTGAGACAATTGAGACATGGATTGTGTATGTGTGCCATTCAGAGGGTGAATGGGCAAGACAAAATATTTAAGTGCCTTTGAACAGGGTATGGTAGTAGGTGTCAGGCGCACCGGTTTGAGTGTGTCAAGAACTGCAACACTGCTGGGTTTTTAATGCTCAACAGTTTCCCGTGTGTATCAACAATGGTCCACCACCCAAAGAACATCCAACCAACTTGACACAACTGTGGGACGCATTGGAGTCAACATGGGCCAGCATCCCTGTGGAATGCTTTCGACACCTTGTAGAGTCCATACCCCGACGAATTGAGGCTGTTCTGAGAGCAAAAGGGGGTGCAACTCAATATTAGGAAGGTGTTCCTAATGTTTTGTACACAAACTATCAGTAACATTTCAACTAACTATTTACTAACCCTAACCCTTATTCTAAACCTAACCTTAGCAAGCAGTTGCTTATCAACAGGTTGTTGATAGTAGCCTATGACTATCCAAATAAAGTGCGATCAGAAGCATATACCTTGGTTTAGTGGGGAGGCTTCTGTCACTTGCACTCCATTCACGGAGCACTGGGCCCCATTGAGTGGAACCAGGGTGACAGTGCCGGTCTGGTTCGCAAACATGCAATGTTCACTCTCAAGGTCCAGCCCATGGAGAACTACAGAGAGGAGAGAGGGAGAATGAGAGGGAAACACACTGTGTGTGTGCATTTGCATTATCAATAGTTTCTTTATCCTGATTTATAGTAAAGTCTGACAGCGGATAGAGTATGTAACAGAGGCCACTCACCAATGTCCTGAACAGTCGACGCATCGTCTCGACCAACATACGTCCTGCCCTCCTGGAACAAAAATGAAATCGATATGTAAAGTCCATGTAACTTCTATTTAAGTTTAATAGGGAGTCAAATGAACTTACAGTGCATTCGGAAAGTATTCAGACCCCTTCCCTTTTTCCACATTGTTACATTGCAGCCTTGTTCTAAAAAATGTTTTATCTTTATCAATCTACACACAATACCACATAATGACAAAGCGAAAACAGGTTTTCAGAAATTGTTTAAAAAAAAAACAGAAATACCTTATTTACATAAGTATTCAGACCCTTTGCTATGAGACTCTAAATTGAGCTCAGGTACATCCGGTTTCCATTGATCATCCTTGAGATGTTTCTACAACTTGATTGGAGTCCACCTGTGGTAAATTCAATTGATTGGACATGATTTGAAAAGGCACACACCTGTCTATATAAAGGTCCCACAGTAACAACAGTGCATGTCAGAGCAAAAACCAAGCCATGAGGTCGACGGAATTGTCCGTAGCGCTCCGAGACAGGATTGTGTCGAGGGACAGATCTGGGGAAGGGTACCCAAAAATGTCTGCAGCATTGAAGGTCCCTAAGAACACAGTGGCCTCCATCATTCTTAAATGGAAGAAGTTTGGAACAACCAAGACTCTTCCTAGAGCTGGCCGCCCAGCCAAACTGAGCAATTGGGGGAGAAGGTCAGGGAGGTGACCAAGAACCCAATGGTCACTCTGACAGAGCTCCAGAGTTCCTCTGTGGAGATGGGAGAACCTTCCAGAACGACAACCATCTTTGCAGCACTCCACCAAATCAAGCCTTTATGGTAGAGCGGCCAGATGGAAGCCACTCCTCAGTAAAAGGCACATGACAGCCAGCTTGGAGTTTGCCAAAAGGCACCTAAAGACTGACTATGAGAAACAAGATTGTCTGGTCTGATGAAACCAAGATTGAACTCTTTGGCCTGAATGCCAAGCTCCACATCTGGAGGAAACCTGGCACCATCCCTACGGGGAAGCATGGTGGTGGCAGCATCATGCTGTGGGGATCTTTTTCAGCGGCAGGGACTGGGAGACTAGTCAGGATCGAGGGAAAGATTAATGGAGCAAAGTACAGAGAGATCCTTGATGTAAACCTGCTCCAGAGCGCTCAGGACATCAGACTGGGGTGAAGGTTCACCTTCCAACAGGACAACGACCCTAAGCACACTGCCAAGACAACGCAGGAGTGGCTTCGGGACAAGTCTTTGAATGTCCTTGAGTGGCCCAGCCAGAGCACGGACTTGAACCCAATCTAACATCTCTGGAGAGACCTGAAAATAGCTGTGCAGCGATGCTCCCCATCCAACCTGACAGAGCTTGAGAGGATCTGCAGAGAAGAATGGGAGAAACTCCCCAAATACAGGTGTGCAAAGCTTGTAGCGTCATACCCAAGAAGACTCGAGGCTGTAATTGCTGCCAAAAGTTATTCAACAAAGTACTGAATACTTAGGTTAATGTTATATCAGTTATTTATTATTATTATTATCATCATCATATATATATATATTTTTATTTTTTTACCAGTTTTTGCTTTGTCATTATGAGGTATTGTGTGTAGATTGATGAGGAATTATTATTAATTTTTATCCATTTTAGAATACGGCTGTAACGTAACAAAACATGGAAAAAGTCCAGGGGTCTGAATACTTTCTGAATGCACTGTATGTGAAGCATTCTGAGATTTTTTGTTGTTGTAAAAACTACAAAAAATAATAAAATCAACTGTGACTGACCTTTAGATGGTAGAGGATGATGCCAGTACTTAGGAGGTCGTCGTCGATACCAATTAGATGAGGCAACTCTGAATCGAGGACGACGCCAATTCCCTCTTTCCTCAGGGCAAGGGTTTCTTCCTGTAAAGATCAATGGAAGACAGATATTGTCAATAATTAGAAATTGATTGATGTTTCTGACTTAAAAGTCAATTAAATTTCACAGCTGACTATAATCTAAAAAGGCACATAACCAGAGTGCTTGTGTGAGCTAAAGTGAATTCGACATTTTATAGAAATATATGCCCACTCACCTTGAGAATGTTCTGAGTTTCATTCCACTTGTTAGTCCACTCCTTGGTTAGCTCCAACACCTATGGCAGAAATAGCACAAATATTTTTCTTGAATATCAAAGATCTTTTGGAGAAAAAAAAAAGGGGGTGCATGTTGTGAGGTCACATCACTACCTTGCTTTAATGCTTGGCTTGTTTATGGATTCAAAGAATAGAACACTAAACTTGCAAAGTATCGATAGCTTCTTTTGTGTAATTGTGTTTATTTTTACTCTAAAAAGGAACCATCCACATGGCCTTACTCGGGCTTCGTTCTGGTGTAGTTTCTCCTCCATGCTCAGAGCGGTGGGTGAATCCAGAAGTGCAATCTGAGAAGGATGAAAACAAACCAACAATCAATACATTATTGAATCACACATCAATACTCCCTAAGTCAGTGAGACCTAGTTAGATTAGATGGGACATTTAAAACACAACAACAAGGTCATAGGCCAGTAGCTGGAAAGGTGGACATGAATGGACTGTTAAATCTCAATAAAACATAATGTACTAGCTATGCATTATAAAATGTGCCCATAAATTAACAATATCATTAACACTTTCACAGTTTTTTACAAACTTGTGTATTGTAGAGCGGTTTTTTTAAATGAAATAAATAAACTTCAAGGGCCCGAGAAAATGTTTTAGTGGACAGGATAGTTGAGTTCCAATGCCCTAAACCATCAACACACACAAAACAATTCAGATCAGTGTGACAAATCCACACCTGGTTTCCCTGGACCAGAAGGGCCTTCAGCCGGGCGATTTCGGCCCTGAGCTCTCGGATGAGCTTGACGTTGCAGTCCTCATTGATCGTGGGCTTGTTGATGATGTTCTTAGCGCGGTTGGCATAGCGCAGCGTGCTCAGAGTCTCGCCGTAGTTGACGTCAGCAGGTGAAATGGCTGCCGCAAACGAGAACAAAACATCTTTGAAACATTTGTCGTACTACAAAACACTTTTGCATTTGCCATGTTCTAATGCTGTATCTTTGACTGCAAACATACCACAGATATTTAGCTTATGGCCATTGGCCACACTTAAGCCTCTTATACATAAAGTCAGCCTTAACAAGGGTTTAGAAAGCCATGTTCTCAAATTCTAGCACCAAATACACTGGACTAGGAACCCAGGAATGTCCCTATTGGCGTCCCTATTGTTTAATGGCAGAATATGGATCTGTAGGTAACCGCCCCGTCCCACCCCCCTGGATTCCTTTTCCCCTGAGCTAAAGATCCAAATCACATCCTGCGCATATTAGGGCTATCAGAGCTAAAATTAACTTTGTGATTTTAGTGCACTGTAATTTTAGTGCGTTGAAAATACACTGAAAACATCCTAAATACCTAATCTATACAGCTAAAATCTACAATGCCATGTAAAAACAGTTTCCATCCAATTTGGGACAGATTTAAGTGAATATTCTAAAATACTCAAAGAAAATGTGCGCATTTTCCTGGCAGTGGTGTGTTTCCACCAAACGGACCTGTTGCAGATCAAAATCAGTGTGTTATGCACACAAAATTCACTTTTTCGCTTAAGTTGTCATGTACCAAAGAAAAATCTAAAGTTCAATGCGTTCCCATCGCATTTTCAACTCTACGGATAGTTGTCACAAAAACTGTGGAGTTAAATAGCAAATGTGCCTACTCTGGTCTTGGCACGTGCCTTCTAGCCAACAACAGGATGTGATTATTATGGATAAGAGCGAGAATATTTTTTATTTGTCAAGCAGCAGTCGAGTGTCATGTCACCAGAATCAGACCCTCCACATTTATTGGAAAGGAGCATCAAGCTCATACCGTGCACTTTCACCACCCTGTGAAGTTCATCATAACTTATTTCATCTATAGCCTAATAAACTGCATGGTTTCCTGAGTTGTAGTGGGAGGACCACACACCATGTCATCGCGTGACTCCAAGTTTACTTCGATATGATAGTAATTACTGTAGATCAATATTTGACAATAAAAGGCATTTCCGCCGCCATTTCTCGCATAATACATTTTAGACACAAAAAGATCCCACCATGTCGAACGAACAATTCTGTCTGCATTTATAAAATTGTACCGAAACATCCTATTTCCATCAGATGTCGATTATTTTTCCTTCTATGGTATGACTTTACACGCATAAAAACTGTGGATGGAAACGTGGTTAGTGAGGTTAAATAAAAAGTGTGCTTTCTCTGTCTACCTAATTTTGCTTAGTGTAACTTTAGACAAAATCAAGACTTCTATATTCTTGTAATGTTTTTTTGTATGAAAAATCTCAAAATTACATCTCAAATTTGGAATTTGCGATTAATAACTCTAATACATTTTTCTATCGTTTGACAGCCCGTTTCTTTTCTTTACACACACATTTTATGTAGTCACCCTCCCTTGAAATTTCTCACAGTCTAGCGTAAATGTTAATTCTTCAAAATGGTTCATTCTTCAACCATTTGATCTCAATCAGTTTCATGGGGATATGGCAATTCCACAGTAACAGAATGATGCTGAGACAGACTGTCATTCCGTTACCAAACTTTGCATCTGCACTGTTCAAGTAAATGTGTTTTTGTTCAATTTTATGTGGAAATTGTTCAAAGTAGTCCTTCTGCATAGAGTTGTATGGTTTGTTTAACTTTGCAATCATTGGTTTTGGTTTGACATACATTTTTAAATGAAAAATCGGAGTCTCAGCATCATTCTGTTATTTTGAAATATGTACAATGAGCAAATTTTAGAGCAGATGGCGTTAAACTATAGCATAGTCTACCTGTGTTTAGTTCAAATCAAAGCACATATTTTGCCTAGTGGCACGTGCTGTTGAGTTTTGGCCACATGAGAGAAACATTTGACCTTTCGCACAATCATCCTAAAATCTCATAAGAAAGTGTTTTTTTGTCTTATAGTAACGTTATACTATGCAATTAGATGATATATCTTGCAGACATTGATTAAGCTTTAATCCAACTTTATTAAACGAGCACCATTCATTTAATAAATAACCTGTTCTCTATGAGTAGAGCTGAGACTAGGCGTAAAGTACAAAATCCCGCACATGCGCAGAAGCGGCGGGACCTTTATCTGTCGGGAAGACGGGTCCAGAAAAGTTGGAGCCGCAGCCACTCCGTTGTTTTATCCCAGTAAGAAGCGTGGCTGGGCTCAGGATCTGATCTATAGATACAGTGGGGAGAACAAGTATTTGATACACTGCCGATTTTGCATGTTTTCCTACTTACAAAGCATGTAGAGGTCTGTAATTTTTATCATAGGTACACATGAACTGTGAGAGATGGAATCTAAAACAAAAATCCAGAAAATCACATTGTATGATTTTTAAGTAATTCATTTGCATTTTATCGCATGACATAAGTATTTGATACATCAGAAAAGCAGAACTTAATATTTGGTACAGAAACCTTTGTTTGCAATTACAGAGATCACACATTTCCTGTAGGACCTGACCAGGTTTGCACACACTGCAGCAGGGATTTTGTCCCACTCCTCCATACAGACCTTCTCCAGATCCTTCAGGTTTCGGGGCTGTCGCTGGGCAATACGGACTTTCAGCTCCCTCCAAAGATTTTCTATTGGGTTCAGGTCTGGAGACTGGCTAGGCCACTCCAGGACCTTGAGATGCTTCTTACGGAGCCACTCCTTAGTTGCCCTGGCTGTGTGTTTCGGGTCGTTGTCATGCTGGAAGAACCAGCCACGACCCATCTTCAATGCTCCTACTGAGGGAAGGAGGTTGTTGGCCAAGATCTCGCAATACATGGCCCCATCCATCCTCCACTCAATATGGTGCAGTCATCCTGTCCCCTTTGCAGAAAAGCATCCCCAAAGAATGATGTTTCCACCTCCATGCTTCACGGTTGGGATGGTGTTCTTGGGGTTGTACTAATTCTTCTTCTTCCTCCAAACACGGCGAGTGGAGTTTAGACCAAAAAGCTCTATTTTTGTCTCATCAGACCACATGACCTTCTCCCATTCCTCCTCTGGATCATCCAGATGGTCATTGGCAAACTTCAGACGGGCCTGGACATGCGCTGGCTTGAGCAGGGGGACCTTGCGTGCGCTGCAGGATTTTAATCCATGACGGCGTAGTGTGTTACTAATGGTTTTCTTTGAGACTGTGGTCCCAGCTCTCTTCAGGTCATTGACCAGGTCCTGCTGTGTAGTTCTGTGCTGATCCCTCACCTTCCTCATGATCATTGGTGCCCCACGAGGTGAGATCTTGCATGGAGCCCCAGACGGAGGGTGATTGACCGGCATCTTGAACTTCTTCCATTTTCTAATAATTGCACCAACAGTTGTTGCCTTCTCACCAAGCTGCTTGCCTATTGTCCTGTAGCCCATCCCACCCTTGTGCAGGTCTACAATTTTATCCCTGATGTCCTTACACAGCTCTCTGGTCTTGGCCATTGTGGAGAGGCTGGAGTCTGTTTGATTGAGTGTGTGGACAGGTCTTTTATACAGGTAACGTGTTCAAACAGGTTAATACAGGTAATGAGTGGAGAACAGGAGGGCTTCTTAAAGAAAAACTAACAGGTCTGTGAGAGACGGAATTCTTACTGGTTGGTAGGTGATCAAATACTTATGTCATGCAATAAAATGCAAATGAATTACTTAAAAGTCATACAATGTGATTTTCTGGATTTTTTAGATTCCGTCTCTCACAGTTGAAGTGTACCTATGATACAAATTACAGACCTCTACATGCTTTGTAAGTAGGAAAACCTGCAAAATCGGCAGTGTATCAAATACTTGTTCTCCCCACTGTATATTAATGAGAATCCAGGGTTCCCCTTATACACTGAAGCAGACAGGTAAAAACCAGGGTTCCTAGTCAGGTGTATTTGGGGCTTTTAAAGGGAAGGATTGGAAACATTTGATTAAATGCAAGACATTTCGCATTATTAAGGACTCACTAGCGATCATGATGGTCTTGGAGTTGCCTCCCAGGCTGTCTTTGAGGAGCCACGTTAGCACAGAGTCTCTGTAAGGCACAAACACCTGCTTCTTCTTCAGGTTGGCGTTCACTCCATCCGGGCTCAGGTCCGCTGTACCAAGACAGGGAAACGATTTCAGATCAACCAAACAATAAGAAAAAGAACATCTAATACTTTCTGTGCTTGATTGAGCTTGCTGGCTTAATAGGTTGCACACCCCGTCAGGCACTTCAGACAGGCTAGAGCAAACACTCAAAGCATTTGAAAGATTTAAAGTAGTATTTGAATCCAGATCAATAGGCAAATCAACAGAGAAACTCAAAACTCTGCATACTCAGTAGAAGTAAGTCATTGGAACATTGCTGTGGTTCAAATATTGTAATGGGAAAACATATTATTATGGCCTGCATATTCAAGCTAAAAGACATTGCCAGATAAGGGGTTTTATTCCATACAACATTTTTTATTATGTGACTTTAATGAATATGTCCTCATATCTGCTGTCTCTGATAACATTGATATAACAGTTGGTATAACAGTTACCCACCTAGAGCGGAGATGACGTTGCCCAGGGTGACCAGTGACTTGTTGATGTTGCCGCCCTCCTTGAGCCGGACTCCCGTGGCACCGGTGGTGTCCGCCCTCTCGCTGCCCGCCAAGTCCACCAGGTGGATTTTACTGATCGTCTCGCAGGGCATCTCCGCGTCAAACTTAGCCTGGAGAGGAGGGAGACAACATGGAAAAACTCTGAAGGATTTCAAAGAAGCTGAAAGGCTAATATTGTTAAGTCTGACGAAGACCTTTGAGTCGAAACTTTGCACTTAAACTGTGGGTGCATTCTACAGTGTGAATGTATCAATTTTTCCTAATACAGATGCTATTAGTGGCAACCCCTTTAAGGGTTAACATGCAGCATATAATGCAGCATCCGGTCCTCCAAAGCCACAGTCCTGCTACTTTTTATTTCTCTCAATCAAGGTAATTGATTGGCTAGGAGTCCACTCACTTGGTAACTAAATCCCTAACTAACAAACAAGGACTACTACACTGCAGCCCTTGTGGACTGGAGTTGTGCATTCCTGGAGTAGCGGTAGCTAGCCTAGCGGTAGCTGTAGTATTGGCTATAGCATTAGCTAGCCCCACCTGGGTGAAGTTGATGGTGAAGATGGCGTGCGATCGGCTGCTGGTGTCGTTCATGCCCGTGGCGGCCGTGGTGCGGTTGATGTTGCCAGCCTCCATCAGCTCCTCCACGTCGTGGTAGTTCTGCACAAGGTGCTTGGACAGGTCTGGGGTCAGATTGGATTAACAAAAGAGGTAATAATACAGAGAGACAGACATCCACTGTTATAATGAGCTTGGGAGCCATCATTCTGGCTGAGACAGGTCTGGGTTCAGATTGGATTAACACAGGGAGTTCATCTACAGACAAACATCCACTGTTATAATGAGTTTAGGAGCCATCATTCTGCCTTACAGACAGGACTGGGATCAGTCTCAGAATGAAGAGAAAATACAGTATGCAAGACCAAATCATGTCCCTTATGTCTGTATAATCGTATTGATTATGATATAAAAAGTGTAATGTCTTACCTTCCACGTAGGGTCCATCTTTTGGGTGCTCCCTCACCCTCAGGTTGTAGGTTTGGGTGGACTTCCTCCTGAGCAGGTCCCTGACACGTTCATTGTAGATCTCCAGGTAGCTGATGACATTGAGAGGATAAAGAGGTCATTCAGAGGTCAAGTTTAGCCTGATGACATCTACCAATTATTATTAAGGGACCCTTTTGTCGTCTCAGGTGATGTCGAACAACCTGATGGATGAGGTACGAATTGCTAGAACGTCTACTGATCATGTGCAATCACTTTTACTACATTTTAAAAAGTGTTCATTGAGCCACCATTAAAAAGGAAAGATTCACCCATTTTGAATGTTATATTGTTTTTTTTTGCATCTCTGAGTGATGTTTTATCAATTCTCGGGGTCATTTAATGTTTTCATGTGTATCTGAGCTATTGCCGTTCAAGCAGGCAGAAATGCAGCCTGTATAACGAGTTTTGCATCATATGATGCAAACCGCATCACACCGACTGTGACAATTTGTGTTTTGAAAGTTCTATATCTTGAAAACTTGATTGCTGACATGCACAACATTTTGGGATTGTATCAACAGTGGACTAATGAAACAAATACAAAAATATCTTCTTAAGCTTCTTAATTTTTCCAAAGAGGTAAAAACAATTCAAGGAATGACAATGGACTTAGAATTGCAACGGACACAGTTTTCTTACCTGACCTCGGTGCGGAAGGAGGCCTCATCCCAACGAGTCATCCCAGCAATCCGGCTGAACAGACCCTCACATATCCGTGGAATGAGACCAACATCTCCCTGATGAAAAATAAATCCATAGAGCAAACCCTTAATCAAACGCAGACGATAAGTTGACGATAAGGCTGACAATTGAAACTGTTCAGTGGAGGACTGAGGAAACCTGTTGATATGTTACAGAACAGATCTTAAAATAATCCATTACAGGGAAGACTCTAAATATGTCAGGTTTGGCTTTAGTCTTTCTCCAAAACAGTCCAATACATAAGAGTCCACAGAGAAAACTGACACTATGAACTTTGACTTGTACTTTCCCCTAATCACTCAGACTTGTGAAAGCAAAACAGGACTGTCGGAGCCCTCGTTCGTTACTGTGATATTTGCTTAGGGTCTCCACGACTGATTGAAGTCCCAATAGTCTGATAACAAAAACAACAGCCCAGTTGAGTAGGCATATGTTGTGGAAACTTCCAGAAACGTCATGAACGGAGTAGACCTGATTACTTATCTCCATGTCAGAGAGGCATGATTGTTCTACATTATATATTTATATCTGAACATTCCACAACGTTGTGCCCTGCTGAACACAGCCCAGTCTTTGATTTGGGAATCCAGGGCCTGTATTCATAAAGCGTCTCAGAGTAGGAGTGCTGATCTAGGATAAGTTTTGCTTTTTAGATATTTAATACGATTATATAGACAAGGGGGACCTGATCCTAGATCAGCACTCCTACAAAGGGAATGTTTGTCTCACTGGATTTCCCATCATGGTGTAGGACTTCCCAGAGCCAGTCTGGCCGTAGGCGAAGATGCAGGCGTTGTAGCCTTGGAACGCAGCCTTGAGGACATCTGAGCCCAGGTCTTTGAACACCTGCAAAGGAAGAGGGCAAACATGGGCTTGTTCAATAAGGTGAAATGTTCAGAGCTTTGGCAAATTGGAATGTAATGTAGCTGATATGATTCACAATGACAGGGACTCATTTGTTCCACACAGTACATTTAGATCTGAATGTTCTGTAAAGGTGTGACCGCCTGAACAGGCCCCAGATCTAACTAGCTAAGACAGATCTTACAGTAAGCAGTCAGTGAAAGAAAGAAACTAGCCAACACAATACAAAGTCAAAAATATGGAATTTATGCATGCATAATTTTAACACATTTATAACAGTTAACTCATAGGCTATGTGTTACTATTAATATTACACTGACATGATACCAGGGGTGAAAGTAAGCCGGTATGGTCCAGGACAGAGAACCGGCAAAATAGATAGTGGGGGTACGCCGTCCCGGTTGAACATGAGCCTATAACAATAATTAAAACAAAGATTCCAAGAAAACTGTAGGCCATTACACTATTATTGATCATTACCACATTTCACCCACATGAAAAATGAGCAAATGGACTTGAAAACGTGTGGAATACACTCCAAAATGCGATGTGGTTCGGCGATAACACATTTTGCAAAGACAGAGATGAGTGGCTGTGAACAAGACGCACGTGGACAGTCAGTTACAGATTACAAGTGTAAGACTAATAAAATGACAATCCCCGAATGTCATTCATTACACTTCTTGGTGTTTTGTTACAGATGTCTCTTTCCATTCATCAAAATGGCGGGTGCACAGCGCACTGTATGGATGCAGGAATTCTTTTAGAGTGGACGAAGCAGGCTTACAGGAGCGTTTTCATCTGATTGTTTGATAGTCAGATGAAAACATCATGACTGGTTATGTGAATGCCACATTAAAAGGTAATACATTCTAATTAAACAACACATCTTTTAGGCCCACAGAGATCTTAACAGGGATTCTATAAGTAATTCTGTTTAGGCCTCCCAAACATGTGTGCAAGTGAGAAGGTACCGTACCAGTAAGAAATGAAATCTACTTTGACCCCTGTATGATGCAATATTATGAATTTTAAAAAAGGTTGCACAACAGTAAGTCATAACTTACGTCAGAAGCTTGTGAGTCAACATGTAGACTAGAGTAGAAAGAGGAGGAAGGGAAGCGCTACTAAGGTACACAATAGCAAATGTTGGTAGACAGAAGGTGCTCTTTGGTCAAAGGGGTGAATTGGTCATCAAAATGAAAGGAGGACCAAGGCACTCTTCATATAATTAATTAAAATGCCTTTATTAGTATGGCATGTTCAATAGAAACAAGATTTAAAAAATAAATAAAATCTGACGCGTTTCGGCTACATGGCCTTCGTCAGGGAGTGGAGACTAGAGTATCAGCACATTAGCAAACTGTTTTGACTCAATGAACTTCCATCCATGACAAAATGTCCTACAAGTAAAACATAAAAATGACCCCTGAACAGAGGCAAATGTAAGCTGCTTTGACTATAATCGGATTTGGACAACAACAACAAAAAGATTTGAGAAAAAACACTTACCTTTTCCTGAGAAACAAAGGTGTTGCTTTTACTGTCAGAGGAGTCATAGGAGAAGTCATAGGTGAAGGTCTTCTTCCTCTCCCTCATGGAATCCCCAGTAATGCCATCTGGTATCTAATGAAATACAACACAATAGGAATAAATATACTGTAAACACAAAGCTGAGTGCAATCTCAAGATGATGGATGTTCACTGATCATATATTATGACCAAATAATTAAATTATGTATTAAATTAATCTAAATTAACTGATGAAATAGCACTAGTATTAAAAAGTATTAAATAGTCATATTAAATAACATTTTATGCTAAACATCTGCCAAGTTGAAAGAAATACAGTCCTAGCTATGGGTAGATTGATTATTATTGCAGTAGAAAGCCTGTTTAAAACGTACAATTACCTTCAAGTTTGCAATGGTGGTCTTGTCCCCTTTTATTTCAATTATGTTTTTGGCAGTCAAGTCCTTCTCCCTGTAAAAATCAAAACAGGTTACTACTTCCAAATAATTAAGCTCCCCTTTCTTTGAGCCAAACCAGGATGCGACGGAGACAGTGAACCAATGAAGAAGCATCAGAGTAAGACAATTATTACTTTCATGTTGTACCAAATTTCAGTACTTTGTGATTCACAAATTGGACCAACAAGAAAGGTACCCGTTACATTAGCAACAAAATACAACATAGTAAACACAAATTTACTGTGATTAATTCATCTATAAATCTATAATATTGGACATTGTTATCTTTGCAGAAGACTACATTCTCTCTAAGATAGGGAGAATGGCCCCAACTGAATCCTCTCAGTTCTTATTAGCTTAATTGATCACTAAAAGTTGTCTGGAGGAAATGTCTCTTGGTATGCCTCTTCCTAGTCTCTCTGTGGAAGAATTCAGTTCAAGCTTTTATTATTAGTGGCCTTTCCAGTATGACATACTGTAATGAAATAAAACCGTACTTTCTGGTGCCTAACAGATTACCATCAACACAATGCCAACCGAATCAGGTTATACTCTGGGCGGATCGGTCTAAAAATGTGTGAAAGGTTACTTCCTTCAGAATCCTTCCTTGTTTTTCTACAAGTGCATCTTACTTATTTGGAATCTGTACATCATATTTCACATACCCACATTTAACATAGATGTGCAGAGTAAGTGAAAGGGTGGTTGTCTTCTGTCATGCAGCTATGTATGCATCCTATTTACTGTTGGAAATAGTTTATGTGATAAAGAAAACTAAATGCCATGCAATTATTGACAGATGTCAGAAAAGTATTAAGGCATCCCTCCCATAATCCCTGGGTGGCTGCCAATACTAAATCCCAATGCCAGACACAGCAGTTCCTATTCTTCATGTTTGTTTTGTTGGTTAACTTGTCCACCCGTCACCTTGCCAGCTGTCTGCTACCTAAAATAATGTTTGTGTGCCAACCTCCAGGCGTTCTTATTGGTGGATTAGCAAGGGGATGTGTGGTGGGCTCGTGCTCCTTTGAGTGGGGTTGGCATTTTAATCCCAAATGCTGTCTCCATTTAAATTTAGGAAGAGACAGTTGTGGCAACGTCAGTGCTTGTTATGACAAATATATTAAGCAGTGTTCTTGCAACACATGGCCAGTCATATGATGCCAGTCAAATTAGTGTATTAAACTGTTACAATAAAGTTCGAAATGGCTACAATGTATCACAATGAGCCAGTGTTCAGCCGGGCGGCTCTCTTCAAAGGAAACAATATAATCATTAGCAACAACAATACCATAATTTGGCCGTTTTAGTTTTTTTTAGCATGTTTTTTGCTTTACTTACCGTCGGTTCATAGGCCTGAGCCGGACAGCCACCCGCACCGGATGCCATTGCACATCCCTGTTGTGTCAGCGTCACCTGTTACTAGATCCAGTTATCCTTGAAAAGAACAACCCAATCGTTTTATGTACAAATAAATGTGGCTAGCGCGCAAACCAGCAGGCTAAACGCGTTTCAGTATCTTGAGTCTGTTTCCAATTTCCTCTGTACCACCCGACCGGTTGCACAGAGACAAGGTTACTTTCAAAAGAAGATCGCTAGTTACTTCGTGTAGCTTTGTCCTCACACCGTGCACCCCTCTGAGACTTGAGCGTGCACCTTATATTATATTACTATCATTAGCGTCACAGAATAATGATCAAACTCACGAAGTGTCATCAGCTAGTAAATCACAAAGCTGATACGGGTACTCGGAGAGGACAAAATGCACTCGCGGGAAAAATAGTTTCACTCCTGTACAGCCGGTGGCGGTAGAGAACTACCTTTTGATTAACCGAAGACGACCCAGAAGCCAGCGCGCGCACATTCACTTCCTGTGTTTTCTGGAAAGTGTGTAGAGAGGTGAGTGTTCTCACAGTTTCAAGTCAGTTTATCTGGAATCAGGAGATGTTCTGTTTGCACACATATAAATATTAATCTGTTTAATCTGTACATTTGTCTGGTCAGCAGCACCAGCTACCAGTTCGAGGTGATGAAGCTTACTAGAAATGTTTATTAGCTAGCGTGCCTCACCGCTTCATTCATTGCACTAGCTAGCCAGTAGTAGGTCAAGCTAGCTAGCAAGCTAAAGTACCCAGCTAATGTGGCGATGTTTTGTTGTTGTTCCAGGTGAAAGAGCGCCAGGTGAAAGTTGTTAATCATGGATATTCGACCAAACCACACCATTTACATCAATAATGTAAATGATAAGATCAAGAAGGATGGTAAGAATCACAGTACATCATTGTTCCAAGATCATGTAGCTAACTACAGCGTTCCTTCAGAGCTAGATAGCCATTTATCCTCTTGTACTGGAGCTGTAGTAAGTTTACATAGATTTCTTTGTCTGTGTCAATGGTGTATAAGTAACAACCTTTAAATAACCTTTGGTGTTTCCTTCTAGAACTGAAGCGGTCACTCTATGCCCTGTTCTCTCAGTTTGGGCAAGTCATGGACATTGTTGCCATGAAAACCATGAAGATGAGAGGGCAGGCGTTTGTAGTGTTCAAAGAGCTTGCCTCTTCTACGAACGCACTGCGTCAACTTCAAGGTTTTCCTTTCTACAATAAGCCCATGGTAAGTTATTACTTAGTAGTCATGCATGTCATTTTCACAAGTGGAAGTAGTACAGGGTGGTATTCATTACGGTATACAAGCAAAACGTTTTGCAATGAAAATGTGAGTTTCTTTGTGGACAACTTCAGGCAGTTCCTCCGCTTTTCGGTCTGTTTTCTACCATTTGGTTTCTAGTGAATACGACCCAGGCCTGTGCTTGGCAAAAATCATATTGTAATTGTCTCTTTTATTTTCAGCGCATTCAGTATGCAAAGACAGACTCTGAGGTGATCTCCAAAATCAGAGGCACATTTGGGGACAAGGACAAGAAGAAGGATAGGAAGAAGAAGGCTCAAGATCAAGTGGCCAACGTGGCCAAGAAACCAGCACTGGTGAGACTAGTATTGTATATGCACATAGGCTATATGACTGCGTCCCAAATGGCATCCTATTCCCTATATAGTGACTCTTTTTGACCAGAGCCTATAGGGCAGGGGTTGGCAACCTGCTCAACTGTGGGTGATTATTGTTATTTATTTTAAATGGTAAAAAAAAGGACTGTAAAATCACCAGGAATTCAGCTAAAATTAGTTTAATTTAGGAAATCTGTTCCCAAGAGACATGTCATCGTGTCTCAATGTAATTCAATGTATGAAATGTTTCAAGTTTTAATGTCACGTGCACAAGTACAGCCTTTCTTGCCAGCTCTAAACCCAACAATGCAATAATCAATATCAATGTAGTACTAAAAATAACATTAGGTAGAACAAAAACAGAAATAAGAAGAACACAAGAAAGTAAGTAAGCTATATACAGGGTCAGTTCCAATACCATATTTACAATGTGCTGGCATACTGGAGCGATAGAGGTAGGTATGTATAGGTGTAAGGTAACTAGGCATCAGGATATATGATAAATAGAGTAGCAGCAGCGTATATGATGATTGTATGTGAGTGCGTGTGTGTAGAGTCAGTATAGATGTGTGTACATGTTATGTGTGAGTGTGTAGAGTCCTGTGTGTGTGAACAAATGAAGTGTGTGTGTTGGAGTGTGCATAGAGAGAGTGCAAAAATAAAATACAAGGGTCAAAAAATTTTTACATTTACATTTTAGTCATTTAGCAGACGCTCTTATCCAGAGCGACTTACAGGAGCAATTAGGGTTAAGTGCCTTGCTCAAGGGCACATTTACGTCATTTAGCAGACGCTCTTATCCAGAGCGACTCACAAATTCTTTGTGGTGGGGTAACGGGGGGTAGAAGGATTACTTTATCCTATCCCAGGTATCCTTAAAGAGGTGGGGTTTCAAATGTCTCCGGAAGGTGGTGAGTGACTCCGCTGTCCTGGCGTCGTGAGGGAGCTTGTTCCACCCTTGGGGTGCCAGAGCAGCGAACAGTTTTGACTGGGCTGAGCGGGAACTATGCTTCCGCAGAGGAAGGGGAGCCAGCAGGCCAGAGGTGGATGAACGCAATGCCCTCGTTTGGGTGTAGGGACTGATCAGAGCCCGAAGGTACAGAGTGCCGTTCCCCTCACTGCTCCGTTGCCGTGTACAAATTATTGTAATTATGCTCCGGCCCCCGACCATCCGCTCCGACAAAATTAGTCCCGAGGCTGAATCTAGTTGCCTACCCCTGCCATAGGGCATGAGTATATGTCAACATAATGCACATAGCCATCCTGTATGCATTTGAATGTAGTCAGTCATTTTACTCCAACACTATTTTCACACTTTTTTTCTATTAACAGGGATCAGCCAACACAAACAATGCTCCAACAACCATGCAGGTAACCTTTCTAGCCCTATCAAGAATAATAACCTAGAATGTAAACTAGAGCAAACTCAACACCATATACATCTCAATGGAGTTGAGTTGCGATGAGTGTCGGCGGAGTGTACCTCCGACTACATCAAGTCGATATCAGTCAATACTTGTACCTTGTACCTATGTTTGTCCTGTGTAACTGTGTTATTTTCTTTGGGTGCTGCCATCCATAGTTTTTGGTTAAAATACCATTTTATGTGACGTCTGTCAAATTGCTCTGTGTAGGGCCCCGTGTAGCTCAGTTGGTAGAGCATGGCGCTTGCAACGCCAGGGTTGTGGTTTCGTTTCCCACGGGGGGCCAGTATGAAAAAAGTATGAACTCACTAACTGTAAGTTCATACTTGGATAAGAGTGTCTACTAAATGACTAAAATATGTAAATATGTAATCCACTGTTTTCCAATAGAATATGAAGTTAGTGACTTCAAACATGCACTACCACGCGATACTTCTATAAATATAAATAATTTAATGCTAACTGTGTAGCTGTGCTTGTCCTGGTTGTTATAGAGTTGTCAGTGGGAGTTGGAATCTATAGTTTTTTGATAAGAAATTGCATTATATGCATCCCCTGCCCAAAAAAAGAATCTGCCGTGCAATGGCGGAGCTGCTCCTTCTCCGTTAACAAACAACGGCTCCCTTGGCGGAGGTCGCATAAATACTGTTGTTTTTCCCAAAACTACGGATTGCAGCATCCAAAGAAAATAATGTAGGTACACAGGAGAACCATAGGTACAAGGTACGCATTAAAGAATGTACATTTTTTCAAGTATCGACTGATACCGACTGTAATAGGGGGTACACTCCGCCGACACTCATCGCAACTCAACTCCATTGAGATGTATATGGAGTTGTTTACTCAGCAAATGTCCCTTGTGAGTGACTAAATCACTAGTAATGATGGACTCTCTTAATAAGCTCAGTGTTGCAATGCCTTCCCTTGTATTCTTGCAAAAATCTCTACTACTCTGCTTTAGGAACGTTTTACTGTTTAATGCGCCCTTTTTGGATTAACTGTTGGAGTGCTACAGATAGTCTGGTCTGCTTATTGACTAAGCTGTAAAAATGTTCCATGGGAAGATTCTATGCAACAATTACAGACTGATTTCTTTGTCTTTTTAGGTTCCAGACAATCCACCCAACTACATTTTATTCCTTAATAACCTGCCAGAAGAAACTAATGAAATGATGCTCTCCATGCTGTTCAATCAGTGAGTATTGGATGATCTTGTTGTCAAATGAGTAAACTGGCCTAGATGCCTGATTGCCTTCATTCAACATCGACAACAATCGTTATTGAGTCTGGCTGATGAACTTGTGAAATATACAGTACTATCTTTATATCAGGGTTTCTTAAACTATGGGTAGGGACCCTGGGCATGTGAGAGAGGTGGGTCGCGAGTTATGAGAATACATGTATAATCACACATGATTTAATTTTAATTTGGGTCGTTTGGAGGAAGGTCCTCTGTAGCTCAGCTGGTAGAGCACAGCGCTTGTAACGCCAGGGTAGTGGGTTCGATCCCCGGGACCACCCATACACACACAAAAAAAATGTATGCACGCATGACTGTAAGTCGCTTTGGATAAAAGCATCTGCTAAATGGCATATTATTATTATAAGATTTGGGTCACAGGGGGATGGTCAATTTCTAATTTGGGTACTCTAGCTGAAAAAGTTTAAGAACCTGCTTTATATCCTTCACATTTCAGACTTCACCATTGCAGGTGGTGAAGCCTTTGATATATTATATTTTGTAGCATGGCAACTGGGGCTCTGTTCAAGAGGGTGCAGAACGTTCAGATAGAAAGCATTGTGTAGATCATGTCAGCTCTATTCATTACATTTCTGATTTCTGAACATTTCACCTCTCTCAATACACCTGTGATTTCTCTTTTTCCTCATAGATTCCCTGGTTTCAAAGAGGTGCGACTCGTCCCTGGAAAACACGACATCTCCTTTGTGGAGTTTGAGAGCGAGGGCCAGGCGGGAGTGGCCAAAGACGCGCTGCAAGGCTTCCGGATTACGGCCCAATGCGCCATGAAGATCACTTATGCCAAGAAGTAGTCCCCACAATGACGTCACTGGACAAGGGACACATATTGGACTCTGGGTTAGAGATGGGTTGGACCCCCTGATTAGTTTTTTCTTTGTTTTTTGTATCGGCTGTGGAATCTCTTAGGAGCTTTCGTTGTTTTTTTTACTGATTTCTGTGCAGTCGCTGTGAGGCAGAGTGAAGAGAATCCTCTGATCCTCGTCTCTCTATCTCTATTTTGTTTGGCACAGTAATAAAGGACTTTTGTGTAACTGTGGTGCCTCAGATGCTTCCTCTGAGATGTTCCAAGTTTCTATCCTGGTCCTGAAGGCCCCAAAAGGACAGCTGATGATTGTAGATTCAAGCCCAATAACATGTACAATTGTAGTGTCATGACATCCTTACTCTCTGGGGGGCTTTACTTTGCTCTAGCGACTCCTTGTGGCGGGCCGCGCACCTGCAGGCTGACTTCGGTCGTCAGTTGAACAGTGTTTCGTCCGACACATTGATGCGGCTGGCTTCCGGGTTAAGCGAGCAGGTGTTAAGAAGCGCGGTTTGGCGGGTCTTGTTTCGGAGGACGCATGGCTCTACCTTCGCCTCTCCCGAGCCCGTTGGGGAGTTGCAGCGATGAGTCAAGATCGTAATATCGTGAAATTGAGGAGAAAAAAAGGGGGTAAAAGAAAAAAGAAAGCTCTTGGATCAACAACAGTAAATACACCACCATTCTTTCAGACTGTTCAGTCTATTCAGATCTAGCACTGTCTGCCTGCTTTCGTAATACTTAAACATCTCAACTGACAGGCACATCAATAATATTGTTTACAAATGTATGGTCATAACACAACATATTGATCAAATGTCTGATGAAAGCTAGTGCGGACAATGGGTTCAGCAATTTCCAAATGAATAATTATACCTTCGATGTCATCAAGTTTTATATGTTCCCTGGAGCTATGGAGAGTGCAGGGTAAGATGAGAAAGAGATGTATCTCCCAAAGATGTATAAAACGTGATGCATCATGACATGAGTCCAGATGTTCACTGCTTTTGATTATCGCATGCTATGATAAATAAGTGCCTTGTAAAGATGGGATATATTTTCAATGATGAGGAATCTGATAAATGGTCCAACTGGTTTAAGATCATATTCATAAAGATCATACTGAATGTGGGTCACAAATGGCACCCTGTTCTTGTATTTAGTGCCCGTCTTTTGACTAGGGCCCATTGGGCTCCAGTCAAAAGTAGCGCACTTTTTAGGTAATAGTGTGCCATTTAGGACACATACCTGGATATTGATCTGCTCCACTTCTAACTGGTCTGCTTGAGCTGTAGTTATATATTCTGCTCTATATTAGCACTGACTGACCTCAAAGAGAGCCACTTCCCCAAAGCTAGTCCCCATCACGTGTCCCAATGTTGGTTTTACTGTCAGGGTAATTTAAACTTTATTTTACCAGGCAGGTACCACACAAACATACACACTCAGTTGTTAGCTCAAAGTGCAGGTCAGGATGGGGTGTAGTCACAGTGACGGATGGTTTGGGTCCCACACACTCCCCCAGGGACTCTGGATTTCCACCCACACATACCTACACTGAGTGTACAAATATAAGGAACGCCGTCCTAATATTGAGTTGCACCCCCTTTTGCCCTCAGAAAAGCCTCAATTAGTCGGGGCATGGACTCTACAAGGTGTCGAAAGCGTTGCACAGGGATGCTGACCCATGTTGACTCCAATGCTTCCCACCGTTCAAAGACACTTAAGTAGTTTGTCTTTCCCATTCACCCTCTGAATGGCACACATACACAGTTCATGTCTCATCTGTCTCAAGGCTTAAACATCATTCTTTAACCTCTCCTACCCTTTGTCTACACTGATTGAAGTGGATTGACATCAATAAGGGATCAGAGCTTTCACCTGGTCAGTCTATGTCATGGAAAGAGTGTTCCTAATGTTTTGTAAACTCAGTGTATATTATCTAACCCTCTATACCTATAACATCTATATATTCTGATAAAGGAAGTTGTGGATCCGGGGTCTGTCAATGGGACTGTTGTCATGCTGACAGAATACCTGTTATGTGAATTATTTAACAAACTATTTCAGTGTCTCTGTGCGTCTCCCAAAAGGTTGTAAGTCTTTTGGGATTTAAGTAACGGACAGAGTCCCGGACTGCATAGTCAGAGATATTTATTCATTGAGAATTCTGCCATCACAATTTCAGAGTCCATCTTTTATACTCATACGTCATACAAAAAAATCCCTCCCCTCTGTAGGCGGGCTGTAGTTTTCCACTCTAAAACTGCTCTCCTGACCATCAGTTCACACACACACACACAGATACAGTGGGGAAAAAAAGTATTTAGTCAGCCACCAATTGTGCAAGTTCTCCCACTTAAAAAGATGAGAGAGGCCTGTAATTTTCATCATAGGTACACGTCAACTATGACAGACAAATTGAGGAAAAAAAATCCAGAAAATCAGATTGTAGGATTTTTAATGAATTTATTTGCAAATTATGGTGGAAAATAAGTATTTGGTCACCTACAAACAAGCAAGATTTCTGGCTCTCACAGACCTGTAATTTCTTCTTTAAGAGGCTCCTCTGTCCTCCACTCGTTACCTGTATTAATGGCACCTGTTTGAACTTGTTATCAGTATAAAAGACACCTGTCCACAACCTCAAACAGTCACACTCCAAACTCCACTATGGCCAAGACCAAAGAGCTGTCAAAGGACACCAGAAACAAAATTGTAGACCTGCACCAGGCTGGGAAGACTGAATCTGCAATAGGTAAGCAGCTTGGTTTGAAGAAATCAACTGTGGGAGCAATTATTAGGAAATGGAAGACATAGAAGACCACTGATAATCTCCCTCGATCTGGGGCTCCACGCAAGATTTCACCCCGTGGGGTCAAAATGATCACAAGAATGGTGAGCAAAAATCCCAGAACCACACGGGGGGACCTAGTGAATGACCTGCAGAGAGCTGGGACCAAAGTAACAAAGCCTACCATCAGTAACACACTACGCCGCCAGGGACTCAAATCCTGCAGTGCAAGACGTGTCCCCCTGCTTAAGCCAATACATGTCCAGGCCCGTCTGAAGTTTGCTAGAGTGCATTTGGATGATCCAGAAGAGGATTGGGAGAATGTCATATGGTCAGATGAAACCAAAATAGAACTTTTTGGTAAAAACTCAACTCGTCGTGTTTGGAGGACAAAGAATGCTGAGTTGCATCCAAAGAACACCATACCTACTGTGAAGCATGGGGGTGGAAACATCATGCTTTGGGGCTGTTTTTCTGCAAAGGGACCAGGACGACTGATCCGTGTAAAGGAAAAAATGAATGGGGCCATGTATCGTGAGATTTTGAGTGAAAACCTTCCATCAGCAAGGGCATTGAAGATGAAACGTGGCTGGGTCTTTCAGCATGACAATGATCCCAAACACACCGCCCGGGCAACGAAGGAGTGGCTTCGTAAGAAGCATTTCAAGGTCCTGGAGTGGTCTAGCCAGTCTCCAGATCTCAACCCCATAGAAAATCTTTGGAGGGAGTTGAAAGTCCGTGTTGCCCAGCGACAGACCCAAAACATCACTGCTCTAGAGGAGATCTGCATGGAGGAATGGGCCAAAATACCAGCAACAGTGTGTGAAAACCTTGTGAAGACTTACAGAAAACGTTTGACCTGTGTCATTGCCAACAAAGGGTATATAACATAGTATTGAGAAACTTTTGTTATTGACCAAATACTTATTTTCCACCATAATTTGCAAATAAATTCATTAAAAATCCTACAATGTGATTTTCTGGATTTTGTTTTCTCATTTTGTCTGTCATAGTTGACGTGTACCTATGATGAAAATGACAGGCCTCTCTCATCTTTTTAAGTGGGAGAACTTGCACAATTGGTGGCTGACTAAATACTTTTTTTCCCCACTGTATACTCACATGCATACACACACTCATACATACACACTTTCTTATCATAGCCTACTCTCTGCATTCCTCAGTTATTGCCGTTCTCACAATATTCTGCACCATGTTTTCATAACAGTTTCTCCCCTCCCTAAATTGGGAGGCCTCTTTATCTTGGTTTCTCAGTTGTCTGTAGACAGTTCTCCTTGTCCTTTGTCTGGCCTAACTCTTACTCACATTGCTGAGTCTTTACTGGTCCTACACTCACACATTTCTAACACATTATACACAGTTTCAGGGTGTAATAATTAGTCATTAATAATTAATCTATCAATACCTCAACAACCGACAGAACACCTCAACAACACCAACACCAGTGACAACTGAGCCTTACGGACCAAAGGTGTGTCTGTGTGTGTGGATGGCCACTGTAACCAACATTACCCCTACGTCTGTCACACTGCCCCAGCCCTCCGCTCCAGCCGCTGCAACCTAATGACACTCACAGGGTTGGGGAGTAACTGATTACATGTCATCTGATTACAAAAAAACTAACCAGTTACGTTACCAGAAAAAAATATTGTACTCAGATTGCAGTTTCTTGGATTACTTTTAAATTCAGAAATAATTACATTGTGACACCTTTCTGTTTTCTCAATGACATTTAATTCAGCATTGAAAAAAGTTTACGTTTGTTCCACTTGTGCGAGTCTGACCATAAGTCAGAGACCACTATGATACCTGTGCCTGACAACTTGTGTGTGTCCCAAATAGCACCTTATTCCCATTATAGTGTACTACATAGGTTTCCATTTAGGATGCATTCTTTGAAAGGGCTTAGAACAATGAACCTGCATGGCTGCCAGTGACAGCGCAAAGCACTGTAGCCTAATAGAGAAACATTGAAGTCGAGCCAAGGGTTAAAGAGACATAATGTGAGGGTAAAATGCATTATTTCAGTCAGCGATGTGTGGCAAAAATGCCCTCTGATAGAATATACTGTATTATAAACCGTGTGGTTCGAGCCATAAGTGCTGATTGGCTGAATGCCGTGGGTATGACCACGGGTATGACAAAAAAATAACAACTGAAATATCACATTTACATAAGTATTCAGACCCTTTACTCAGTACTTTGTTGAAGGACCTTTGGCAGCAATTACAGCCTTGAGTCTTCTTGGGTATGACGCTACAAGCTTGGCACACCTGTATCTGGGGAGTTTCTCCCATTCTTCTCTGCAGATCCTCTCAAGCTCTGTCAGGTTGGATGGGGAGCCTTGCTGCACAGCTATTTTCAGGTCTCTCCAGAGATGTTTGATTGGGTTCAAGTCCGGGCTCTGGCTGGGCCAC